TTAAAATATAAAAAAGGTTAATCATACGTTTTATTCATAAGTAAATAATGAATGTACTATAATAAAAACATGATTCGATTTTATTCACTTATGAATAATGATAGATGAAACTCTAAAAAAAAAATTTTTAATTATTTTATCTCAAAATTATATCAACATAGATGTCTATTTATAAAGAATAAAAAAATTATGAATTTTGATATAATTAAAATAAATTTGCCATAAAAATAACATTCTAAAAAAAAAAAAAAAAAAAAAAAAAAAAAAAAAAAAAAACATGTTCTTGTGTATATTAAGGTAACGATTAGCATACCTTAAGAGTATACGGTGTGGGTTACAACGAGAAACAAATTTGGTGAATTGGCATACGAAAACGACGTCATTACGCGGGAACCCCCCCCCCCCCCCCCCCCCCCCCCCCCCCCCCCCCACTCGTTGAAGCTCGTTATGGCGAATCTCGTGGGCGTTAAGACGGATTGCAACGCATAAATTCGAACGTTTTCTTCACTCGAATGTTTAAAAACGGTCAAAATTAAATAAAAATAAAAAATCTACCTTTTATCCTTATTATAAATACTACTTTTAAACCATTTTTTTTAAACCTTTCTCTCATTCTCTCTATATGTTATACACATATTTTTTTTAAAAATTATAAAAAATGGAGCAAAACCCAAACACCCCCCTCCATCATCAAACTCAAACACAACCTCGTGTATTGGATTCATGGGTTATGAAAATTATTTCAACCTGTTATCGTCATAAGGCTCACCACAAATCTCATACCAAGGCGCCGCTTTCAATCCCGCTTCACCGCCACTGCAATTTCTCAACTCACCTTACCTTCAACAAAATCAATTTGGTTAAACCCCAAATTTACAACAAAATATTTTCCATACTTTTGCTTCGATGCAACAAACAAGCAACCAACCATCGCCTACGATACAACAATCGGTTGAAGTGGAAGCAGGAGGTAGTAGGAGAGGGAAAGGGAAAGGAAAATCGAAAGAGAAATCGATAGCGGTAGAAACAGAAAATGCAAACGTTCCATAATAGTGGACACCGGAGGAGGAATACGCTTTGATGGCGGCTTGGTGTGCTACTTCAAAAGATGAACTACGCGGAAATGGAATAAAGAAATGAGCTTATTGGGGCACTACAAGAAAAAAAGGGTATTAGTGGCGACAAAAGTCGCCACTATTGCTCACCCAAGTCACCGCTAATAGCTTTACCGGCGACAGGTCGCCGTTATTGAGTCGCCGCTACTGCCTCGTCGCTATTGCTCAAAAAGTTGCCGCTAATGCTACGTGTCGCCGCTAATGATAATGTCACCGCTAATGCTACGTGTCGCCGCTAATGCTCAAGTCGCCGCTAATGCCCTATATCGCCGCTAATAGTGTCGCCGATATTGCCGTTTTTAGTTTTTTTAAAAGCAGCCAATCTCGGTTGTCCGAAAACCGATACAAAATAACGTTAAATGCAGAAAAACCGATACATTAAATGGAGAAAGACGATTACATAACATCCCAGTTTTATAATATCATACATACACCAAAATAAATAACAAAATTCTTATAAATTTATGTCATACTACAAATGCTAATAAAAGATAAAACTAATACGACATGTCATCATCCCCGCCACCGTTGTTCCATCCTATAAGATCCACAGTTGACTCCAGATTGTTGGACATTGATCGAAGATTCTCTAACTACATAATAAATAACAACTTATAAACTTGTAAGTTAACATATTAACTTTAACCAAACTAAAAATTACTAAATGACATTGTAGCATCCTACTTGTTTTTTGTTTATTTTTTTTTCCATTATGACATTGTAGTTTACATATTTCACACAAAATACAAATACACACATACATACAATATACACATATATACATACTTTTGATACATATAAAACAATCATGAACACAATCCAAACTGCATACAAATACATACATACATTAATCACATATACACGTATTTTTTATACACACATATATGAAATACACACAATTTTCACACACATATAACATATTTCACACACATATGAAATACACACATATATAAAAAATACACACACAAATGCACACATATATACAAAATACCCACAGATATACAAAATACCCAGTCACAATAAATAGAAGTAATAGAACATGTGGTGGCGTATGGTGGCGTGTGGTGCACCAGTGGTGGCGGTAGTGGCGGGTGGTGGTCGGGAACACAATCAACAAAACTGAAATTGTAATTTTTTTTTGCAATTAACCACTCTAATAAGCTTAAAATCAATGTTACAAGAGAAAATGGACCGGAAATTTACCTGGAAAAGCTTGGTTTCGCCAGAAAATCCTTGGTCTCGCCGGAAAAAGCTTGGTCCTCACCGGAAAATCCTTGCCCACCAATGGTATCCTCACCCAAAATTGCTAACCGTGACAATATCCCACTCTAATCGACGAAAGTGCTGAAGGAAGCTATGCAGACGAGAGAAAGAAATGAGATTTGCAGTGAAACAGAAGAGAAAATGGGAAAAGATCGACGTTTTTGGGGTTAAGTGCGTCGACCTTTAGCGGCGACGCCTTTACCAGTGACAATTTTGGCTTTAGCGGCGATTTCCTTCAATACTGGCGACACTTACGAGGGGAAACATTACTGCGCCATTTTTTTTCGACAATTAGCGGCGACTCGGTTAGGTCTTTAGCGGTGACTTTTGTCGCCGGTATTGCTTTTATGTATTCTTCGATTATCCTTGCCGTTGGATTAGAAACACGATCGAACGGTCTTAATTTACAAGAACGTGAAAGCGCGGATCCGTGTCTACAGTTATTAGCGGCGACGCCAATAGCGGCGACACCTACTTTTAGTGGCGACAATTTGATGTGTCGCCGCTAAAAGTAGTTGTCGCCGCTATTGGCATCGCCGCTAATGACTGTATTTTTTGTAGTGGGGGCGGTGCGCGACAAGTTTCATGCTATTTTGAAAAAAATTCCATATCGCAACAATGACATGTTGAGCAGCAAATGGGGTCAAATAATTAAGTGGTGCAACCAATTCAATGGTATTTACAACCGGCTTGAGGCGCAACAACAAAGCGAAACCCAACGACTTCGATTTGTTCAAAGTTGCTAAGGAACAATATCGGGTTGAAATGGATCATGTTTTCGACTTTGAAAAATCATGGGAATTGTTGCGAGCGGATCCAAAGTGGAATAAAAGCGCTTACATCGTCGGAGGTTCAATCCAAAAGATCTCGCAATTCTAGCTCGGTCGACGTGTCAGATGCACGGACTAACATCGACCTAAACGCCGCCGACGATGAGATCCCGAATGATATCCAAGATATCTCCCCACCACGACGACTGCCCGGATACGACAAAGCGAGGCGCACTGCAAGACATGCGGAGGAGGTGGAGACGAGAGCAAAAGAGGCGGCAAAAATGAGAGCGAAATTTAACGAGCACAATTTATTAATAAAAGAAAAAAATTAGTTGAAATGTCGTCATTTGGAGTTCCTGGAAAGGCAGACACGGGAAAAGCAGGAGCAAAAAGAGATGGAACTAATGACACATTAGTTGTCAATTCTTCGGACGGGGGGAGGGTTTGACGTCTACTAATCTAGCAGTGCTACAAGCGATGAAGGAACAAATTAGGAAGAAATAGTTTGATTAATTAGGATTGTTATGTGGTTTTAATTGTAATTTGAATGGTATTTTATTTATTATTTTAGGTTTAAAATTATGTTTTTTTTTTTAATTGTAATCGTAATTTTAGATTTTAAATATTATGTTTTTTTTTTGTTTTTAAAATTTTATGTTTTATAAAATATATATTAATGTTAGTGATTAAAAAAATGCAAAAAGTAAAAAAAAAACGAAAAAGTGAAAAAAAAACCCCAACTTCGAAAAAAAATCAAAAATAAAACATATTTATTTTCAAAAAGTTGGTCTTGGATTTTATTGTCCATTTTCCCATTTGATGTTATAACACCACTTGCTTATGTGACATGTGAGGTGGCACAACTTGGTGTTGCAAATTGTTGCCCACACCCAATGCTCTAAGGAAACATATTTGGTTGGAAGAGACATGTATATCCGTTACCCATTCCGCCAAGTATGTCTAAGTTTTTTGCGGCAAAATAAATGTGTGGTTGAGAATAATTATCTCATTCTCAACTTTTGTTTTCTCGATTGAAACCTCATATATATATATATATATATATATATATATATATATATATATATATATATATATATATATATATATATATATATATATATATATATATAAAGTAAAAAAAAAAATTAAATTAAATATCTCAAAATGTCTATGTATTTGTATTTATTTTCTATTGTTTATAGGTTTATGTGTTTTTTATTACCCTCTTTTTGTATTAGAAGTAATTAGTAGTACGTCTTAGTTTATTAACTTCTTTTTTAAGAGGGTGTCGATATAAAAAGTCAAACGCCACACTTTAAAATTTTTAAAATGAAAACTAATTTAATTTGATTCATATTTTTTGATTATTATTTTGACGTATATATAGATAATAACAGTGGTCGTGCAAAGAAAAGGTTGTAAAATCATTGCTAATAGTATTTTTGTAGGAAAAAAAAAAACGAAGAAAATCTATTTACGTGGCCGGACCAAAAAGGGTTGAAAAGAGAATATATATACTGAAAACAAAAAATAGAATAATTGATAAAATAATGGGATTGAAAAGTAACACCCATCCCATTTTCTATTTAGAAACAAAATTTAATAACAAAGTCTCTCTTTGTTCCATCTTCTCATCTCCTCTTCCGCGGAAAAGAAATGAAAACAGATTCGCAAACTTCCAAAACAACAGAATAAATGGAAGCAAGGTACTGAGATTTTGCTCCAACTCTTCTTATTCTCCTTCTTTTCTTGTCCTCTCTTCTCCTTTGTATATATATATAAATATAAATACACACGCCAACCAAACTTATCCAAATCTTTCTTCTTGGTCAATGGCTATCTCCCAAATATGCTTCTAAGTCTCATCTTGATTGCCCAAAAGCGTCGTGTCTTCGACTCTTTGCTGCTGTCTAAACACTGTTGTTCATATGGACTTATTTGGTATGCTGAAGCTGCAAGTCAATGCTAATCATAGTATTCATCTATCATACGGGGTTTGGTTTTTGAGTTTTTCAATATGACCATGTTTCCTGTTCATCGGCAAAACCTCAGGAAGAAAGATAGTTTCGGTTGTTATGGTGGGGCTTGCGGTGGTGGGCGGCGTTATTTGGAAGGTGAGTATGAGTGTTTCATCAGCTTAGGCGGAGCATCCGATCTAATGGCTGAAGATGAATCAAGAACGGAGATTAGTATTAACAACGAAGAAACGGCAGGATCAAGCTCCAAGCAGGATAATATTCATCAAGAGATTAACAAAGAAGATGATGGAGGGTGGCTACAATTGAGTTTAGGAGGCGGTACTCATGTGCAGTCGACGACGAGTCATAATTACCATAGACCCGACCACCAAATTTCGTTGGGTCCAAGATTAGTCGAGCTTGATCTGTTACCTGGTGGCAGCGGTAGCAGCAGCGGTGGCGGTGAGACTTCCTCACAACAAATATTGATGAGGCCGCTAACTAATTTAACTGCAGCTCCTCTTCCTATTCCTCCTCCGCACCAGCACCACCTCGGTTTTCAAGCTCCAGATTTTCGAGGTTCTCTCCCGACCATAACAGCAGCCCCATCGCCGACCTTCTTTTTGCAACAACATCGGGGGTCGCCTGCTAGTACTACTATTGATTCCCTACCCGCCATCACTTTTATTCATCATGATCAACAATACGACAACAATTTTCTGCCGTTTAGGTCTTATCCGCTAACGCTTAATCCTCATCTATCTTCATCCCCATCGTTTTCTGCTTCTTTGGAGCAACCACCAGCTTCAGGTTCTTATCAAGGCCGACCACTCCATTTCCACGGTGGCATAGATGTTACCGGACCACCACCCCGTATCGATTTACGAGTCGTGGATCCACCCAGAAGACCTCATTCTGGTGTTTGGTTTATTCTTCAAGCATCGCAAAACCAGTAAGCTGTCACCAAAACCCTAACTATGTTATTTTAACTGTTTATCGTTTTTCTCTATTTTGAGTTGTAGTTTTTGCATATTTTCTTTTCTTTTTTTTTTAATTTACTTACTTCATTTTTTGGAACGAGAAGCCAATTGCCATTCATGGACTTATGTTTTTAATTTTCTGTGACGAATATTTAATGTAGAACAAAAGAACCTTATTTGCCTCAAGTACCGAAGAGCTACCTTAGAATCAAGTAAGTAGCATCTTAATCAATAAAACAAGCACATATATATATATATATATATATATATATATATATATATATATATATATATATATATATATATATATATATATATATATAATATATATATATATTATTTCCCATTAATAGAGAGGTGTTAATGCACAGGGATGGAAGGATGACCGTTCGATTGTTAATCAAGTATTTGGTTAATAAACTCAAACTGGAGAGCGAATTTGAGGTATGTCAAAACCATAATACTCCATTAATTCTCTGGATATATATATATATATATATATATATATATATATATATATATATATATATATATATATATATATATATATTATATATATATATATATAAACCTGCATACTAACTGATAATTAGACTAAGCTTAATTAGAAGTAGTTGTCACTTAGCTTGTCATATTCTAGCTAACAAGGTATATACACAATTTCCTCCTAGTCATCAATACTTGTCTCCTTCATATATTTTTACGCTAAGTTTAAACCTTACTGACTACTCATTGTAAAGAAAGAAAGAAAAGGTTGGGGATTGTGGAAATAGTCCAAAGGAGGAAATCATCCAAACCTGCAAGAATATGGTTGATGAAAGAAACATGAGAACAAATTCGAATGGACTGAAACTGTCTATATATAGTGTTAATCTTTTTCTCGATCAGTAACATCAGAATTAGGTGTCTAGTATATTTCTAGCTAGGTAGCCTTCATGGTATGGTAATACAAAAATTATTCGTACTAATTATTAGTTCAATTGGGGAAATAACACCCACGTTAAAAGTACACTTAGGTATGTTAATTTGGTTATTGTATTCGTTAGCAAGTAATATATGATCCTTTGGCAAAAATTCAAGGAAACATCGTGTAGGCCTCAAGTTAATGGAATGTGGAAAACTACGTGCTACCATCATCAAGCATACACCTACCCCTTCCTTTCTTGCTTAGGTTGTTGATTTTATATATATATATATATATATATATATATATATATAATATATATATATATATAATATTATATATATTATATAATATATATAATATATATAAAAGGCCGGGGCAATGCCATAAGAACCGTATTCTCTCATCTGCCACATAGACACTACATAAAATATCGTGTTAAATTTATTACATAAAGTGTTTTTGTCGTACATGAGATTTAGAAGAGAGAAACAATTGGAGAAGAAGATTGAAAGTAGGAGTGCGACACTAT